CAGGACGTCACATTTGACGAGTCAGTCCCCTACTACCGCATCTTCCCCTACCGCACTCCGTCCCTCCCCGCTCCCCCGCTCTTCCTTGTACCATGTCCCCCCCCGGTAGACCCCCTCCCCCCTCAGGGTCCTGCCCCTTCAGGTGTGTCCTAGATAGATGCCGTCGAGCCTGTCGAGGTTACTGGTGACTCTGGTGCTGGTGAGGGTGCTAAGCCTAGGGGTGCTGAGTTTGGGGGTGCTGAGCCTGGGGATGCTGAGACTGGGGGTGCTGAGCCTGGGGGTACTACGCCTGGAGGTGCTGAGCCTGGGGGTGCTGAGCCTGGGGGTGTTGAGCTTGGAGGTGCTACGCCTGGGGGTGCTAAGCCTGGGGGTGTTGAGCTTGGAGGTCCTCCGGGTGCTTCGTCTCGCCGGGAGCCACTCTCTCCACCCGAGCTGCGCGAGTGGTTTGCCCGGCGCTGGAGGCGTGCTGCTGTAGCTGGAGGTTCTTTGGTTGCTGAGGGTGCTAGTGCCGCTAGTCCCAGAGGTGATCGTACAGGGAGTACTGGAGCTGCTGGGCCTGCGGGTTCGACTGGAGCTGGTGCTGCTGCGGGCGTTGGTGCTGAGCCTACTGCTCGCGGTCCTGCTGGGGGTGCTACTTGTGCTACTGGAGGTTCTGGAGCTGCTGGAGGTGCTGCTGGAGAGGGTGATCCTGCTGGGTGTCCTGGTGCTGTCCCTGCTGTGTCTGGTGTCGCCGCGCGGCCTCGACCGTACTTCGTTCCACTCCTGCGGCAGGTTCTTGGTCTTCCACCTTCTACAGGTCCTCCTCCTTCTTTAGAGTGTCCACAGCCTGTCCCGTCATAGCTACAGTTACAGCCTGGCTCCCCACTACCTGCTCCCTCTCCCTACACTGGTCCTACTGGAGGTCTTGCTGAGCGTTGTGAGCCTGCGTCTCGTCCTGCGTCGCCTGTTCGTACTGCTCGCGCTAGTGGTCGCGGTTCGCGTCAGCGTCCTCCTCCTGTCCCTGGCACGCACAAGATGTCTCTGCGTCCGTCCACTGCTCCTCTGCGTGCCCCTTTGCCTTCTCCTCCTGCGTCCTCTCTTCCTACTCTTGCCGACCCTGCGTCGGACTCTCTTTGTGCTGCCAGTCCTACTGTCACGCGTCTCCTTGCTACTATCGTCACTGACCCTTCTGCGTCTGCCCTAGTTACTGAGCTCGTCGACTTTGCTGCTCGGATTCGCCTAGACTACGCTGCTAGTCTTGTCGCTGAGTCTGAGTTTGTCTGTCCTCCGTCCGTCGGGGGTGAGTGTGCCCTTGGCACGGACGTCCTTGAGGACAGGCAGGGGGAGTTCCAGTGCTTGGCCGCTGCTTCACCTCATCTCGTGTCCGTACTGCTTACCCCTGCGGGAGACCCGGATGCGCTTGACATCCCGACTCCGCGCTCTTACGTGGAGGCGATAGAGGGTCCCTACTCTTCTCAGTGGCAGGCAGCTATGGATGCAGAGATGGCTTCCTGGAAGTCCACACGCACCTACGTTGATGCTGTCCCCCCTCCTGGGGCGAACATCGTCAGTGGCATGTGGATTTTCAGGGTGAAGCGGCCGTTGGGTTCTCCGCCTGTCTTCAAGGCGCCGTACGTGGCTCGTGGCTTCAGTCAGCGGCAGGGAGTTGACTACTTTTAGACCTTCTCTCCCACCCCGAAGATGACCACTCTTCGGGTACTACTGCACGTTGCTCTCACCGTGACCACGAGCTGCACTCTCTCAACTTCAGCACAGCTTTCTTGCAGGGCAGCCTGCACGAGGAGATCTGGCTGCGCCGCCCACTTGGCTTCACTGGGTCGTTCCCTCCTGGTACCCAGTGGAGTCTCCGGCGTCCAATCTACGGTCTCCGCCAGGCGCCCCGTGAGTGGCACGACACACTGAGGACTACACTTGCGGCTCTTGGGTTTGCTCCTTCTACTGCTGACCCATCGCTGTTTCTGCGCACCGACACCTCTCTGCCACCTTTCTACATCCTCGTGTACGTCGACGACTTGGTCTTTGCCACTGCTGACACTGCTGGACTCGCCTACGTGAAGTCCGAGCTGCAGAAGAGATACACGTGCACAGACCTGGGTGAACTGTGCAGCTACCTTGGCTTGCAGATCACGCGGGACAGAGCACGCCGCACCATTACCCTGACTCAGTCACACGTGGTGCAGCAGGTCCTTCGGCGCTTCGGCTTCACGTACTCCTCGCCTCAGGCCACTCCTCTGCCTACTCGCCACTCACTCTCAGCTCTGCCTTCGGATGAGTCCGTAGAGTCGAGTGGCCCGTATCCAGAGCTTGTTGGCTGCCTCATGTACCTGATGACCTGCACACGACCTGACCTTGCATACCCTCTTAGCATTCTCGCACGCTATGTTGCTCCTGGGAGACACCGACCAGAGCACATGGCTGCAGCGAAGAGGGTGTTGCGCTACTTGTGCAGTACGTCCTGCATGGGGCTAGTGCTTGGAGGGCGCAGTCCAGTGGTCCTCACTGGGCACACAGACGCTTCTTGGGCTGACGACCAGGCTACGCAGCGGTCGTCACAGGGTTACACCTTCAGCCTTGGTTCCGGCTCTGTCTCGTGGCGGGCTACTCGCTCGTCTTCTGTTCTCGGCTCCAGTTGTGAGGCTGAGATCTACGCTGGGGCCGTGGCTGCACAGGAGCTTCGCTGGCTCACCTACCTGCTGACTGACCTTGGAGAGCCGCCTCGTTCTCCTCCAGTTCTGTACGTAGACAACAAGGCCATGCTGGCCTTGTGTCGAGAGCAGTGACTGGAGCACAGAACGAAGCACATTGCTCTCTGCTACTTCCTTGCTTGTGAGCTACAGCAGCGTGGTCAGCTGCGGCTTGCGTACGTGGCCTCTGAGGCCAACACTGCTGATGTTTTCACCAAGGCACTTGCGCCTTGTGATCATCAGCGCTTCTGCACTCAGCTGGGTCTTGTCCCTGTCTTACCTCACTTCCTCACCTCTTGACCTTGCTTGAGCTATTACATATATATATACCTGCTCTTGCTTGTCTAGCTTTATATATATATATGTACTCCTGCATGAGAACTGACCTTGTGGCCTCGAACTTGTGCTCGGAATGTGTGGTGACTTTGTGATCCACCCTGAGCTTGCTTTGCTTTCCTTTGCTTGACTAGTCTTGTGACCCCTTGTTCTCCTCCACTTTGCCTATGGGGGTGTGTTAGAACATTATAGCTTCTGCTTTTGTGTAGGCTATAGTGGGGTATCCCATAGGGGGTACAACCCAATTAGGGTTAGTACTTGTACCCAGTTCATTCATAGTTCATTCATTCTCGTTTCTTCTCACCCCCCCACCCTCAAGAAGCCCCCTCCGCTGGGCGAGCGCGTGTATATCGCGGAAACCCCGGCTCCTCAGGTACACTTGCAGGGCAGGGTGGTTTTCAATGTTGGCCAGGGGCACCCATCTATCTTTAGTTGGCATGCGATCCTTCTAGCGAACGAGGAATTCAATCCTCCTGATTCCCGTGGGGTGTCGAATCGGATGGCTCAGGATTTTTTCAAGTTCGATGATCCGCTCCGATGCAGGGCGAGTCATGGATGGTGGGAGGTGATGAGGTCGTTGGCTTGTGGTAGGGACGTATGGACGAAGCAGGCTGACGTGGAATGAAGGGTTGATGTACCAGTCCGTCGGCAACAGTAGGTGGGCTGTCACTGGGGTGATCATGTGGCTGATTTGGAATGGTCCATAGTAGCGGGGTCGCAATTTCGGTACGACGGGCAGTCTTAAGTCCTGTGTGTCGAGCAGTAGAAGGGGGACTGCTTCGTCGTCGCTGACGTGGCGTTGTTGTACGCGAACTCGATCAGCGGAAGCTGCTGCTCCCTGTCAGACTTATATGCTATAGTCTGTGTAGGCTGTAGTGGGGTAGCGCATATGGGGTACAACATTTTAGGGTTTCCTACTTGTACTCCTCATGGTGCTCAATGCAATCATTCCTTGTTCTTTCACATGGTATAGAGCAGGTTCCCTAGTGGGAACGTTTCCTAGGGCCCACCACTGAATTTTTTTTTTCCTGCCCAAAGCGCGCTTCCCTCCTGCCCGAGTCGCGCCCCGTGTGCCCTCCCTCCCGTCACGCCCCTAGCCCTTAGCGGCCCGTCGCGCCCTACTCAGGCCCCTCGCGGCCCCTTTTGCGGCCCCTCACGGCCCCTGTTACGGCCACGTCGCCGCCCCTCTAGGCCCGTCTCGCCCCCCTTTGCGGCCCCGTTGCCGCCTCTAGCGGCCTCGTCGCCGCCCCTCTAGGCCCCTCGTGGCCCCTTCGCGGCCCCGTCGCTGCCCCTCTAGGCCCTTTGCGGCCCCTTCGCGGCCCCGTCGCCGCCTCTCTAGGCCCCGTCGCCGCCCCTCCAGGCCCCTCGCGGCCCCTTCGCGGCTCCGTCGCCGCCCCTTGCGGCCCCGTTGCCGCCCCTTGCGGCCCCGTCGCCGCCCCCTCTAGGCCCCCTACGGCCCCTCTGCGACCCCGTCGCCGACCCTAGCAGCCCCGTCGCCGCCCCTGGAGGCCTCGTCGCAACCCTTCGCGGCCACCTCGCCGCCCTTAGCGGCCCCGCAGCCGACCCTACTGGCCCCGTCGCCGACCCTAGCGGCCCCGTCGCAGCCCCTAGCGGCCCCATCGCCGCCCCTAGCGGCCCCGTCGCGGCTCTTCGCGGCCCCGTCGCCGCCTCTACCGGCCCCTTCACCGTTGAGCTGCCCAACAGCTGAGCAGCCGAGCCACCACGCCGCCAGCCGCCCAGCAGGCGAGGCGCCCGAGCCGCCGAGCCGCCCAGCGACCCAGCCGCCGAGCCGCCAAGTAGCCGAGCCGCCCAACAGCCGAGCCGCCGAGCCGCCAAGCAGCCGAGCCGCCGAGCTGCCGTGCCGCCCAGCAGCCGAGCCGCCGAGCCGCCCTGCCGTCGAGCCACTACTGTTCCTACCGGCGCGCCCCGGCCCTACTCCCTTGGACTGGTGAGCTTACTCCCTGCTAGGCCACTGTAGTCATGGCTACCCCCAGTGTCCTTACCTTTGATACTGACGGTCGTGCTGTTGACTTTGAGGTCTGGGTCGATGATCTCCAGCTGTTCTTACAGTGCGATAGGGCAGACGAACTTTCCCTGTTCGATCTCACCTCTGGTGTCTCTCCTGGCCCGCCTGCTACTGCTGACAGTACTGATCGCTCGCAGTGGGCCAAGCGCGATGTTGATGCACGTCTTACTGTGCGTCGCCACTTACCGACCATTGAGCGTGCGCACTTTAGCCAGTACAAGAGTGCTAAGACCTTGTACGACGCTGTAGTTGCACGCTACTCTTCCCCTGCCACTGCTGCGCTTAGCCGCCTCATGCTACCGTACCTGTTCCCTGACCTTGCTGCCTTTCCCACAGTCGCTGACCTCATTACGCACCTTCGCACTAGTGACAGTCGCTACCGCACTGCACTTCCTGCAGAGTTCTGTGCCAAGAACCCCCCCCCCCCATGTACATCACCATATACTACATAGTCACCCGGCTCCCTGACTCCCTTCGCTTAGTCAGGGACCACTTCCTCTCAGTTTGCCCCACCACACTCACCGTTGACCTCCTCAAGTAGCGCCTCCTAGTAGCAAAGAAAAGCATAGTCGCTGTAGGAGCCTCTCGTGGTGACCCTCGCACCCCCGTCTTTGAGGGGTGTTCTCCCTCCCCCCTCTTGCCCTCTGTTGCTTCTGCTGCTACGGCCGACCTCGTTGGCTTCGAGTCGGTCGGCGCTGCGTCTGCCCCTAGCGCGAAGCGCCGCACCGGCAAGGGCAAGGGGGGCAAGGGCGTTGGGGGGGCTAGTGGGGGCGGTGGAGGTGGTGGTGGAGGCAGTGGAGGGGGTGGGGGTGGTGGTGGGTGTGGTGGCGAGGGCGGAGGTGTCGGTGGCAGCAGTGGAGGCGGAGGAGGCGGCGGTGGTGTCGGAGGGAGCGGAGGCGGCGGAGGTGGTGGAGGTGGCGGAGGTAGTGTCGCGGTTTATGTAGCCAGGAGGGCCGCATAGGAACCGAGACAGCGCCAAGAGTTGGCAGCAGGGAGAGTGGGAGGATGTGGCAGAAGCTGAATCTACAAGTGCGGAGGGAAGAAGGGTGGGTGTACATAATTATAAATAACGCTCAAGAAAGTTTGCATGAGAATGGTGGGTGTATGAGTCGGGGTGGTGCATGTTTCGTTTGTGTCCTGTGCAGGGCGAGAGCTGTTGACGCGAATAAGTGCAGCACAGCCGACAGGTGGCAAAAGCTGCAGTTGAACATGCACGCCAAGCTTGCAGCTGGCGAAGGGCGTGCGCTGGAGCCCATGCAGATTCAGAGCGCCTGCGGTTTGGAAATATGGCTCGGCACCCCGAGCCTCGCCCATGTGATGTGTGCATGATAGAGGCGCTAGGCTAGGGCAGCAAAGTTGGCTTGTACATAGCAGTGCTGATACCCTAGTGTAGGCTGCTTCGTTGTATGTTTCCCGTTTGCTCCAATGTAATCCTGTTAACTCACTCGCAGGCAGTCATGAGCACGCTAGGGAACCAGCTTGTCAGCCGGTAGTGGCAAGGAGATTTTCTATTAGTGAGATGTCATGATGGAACGCTGCCACACGGCACACAGTATACAGCAGTTAGGGCGTCGGTAGTACCCCAGAGCAAGAGCAAGAGAAAGTAAGGGGGGGGGGAAGAGTCCAAGAAGAGACAAGTGGAAGGGGGAAGGGAGACTCAGGGGTCTACAGACGTGGTCGGTGGGAGTCAGGAGAAAGGGGCCATACAGAGCATTTCCGAGAGTAGCGGAGGCAACGGTGGAGCTGGTCGCGGCTCTGCGCAGAGGAGTGGCTCCGGTGGTGGTCCGCGCCAGCAGCAGCAGCACGGTCGTGAGACCCTGTCCCCTCAGCAGCTTTGTGAGTGGTACGCTGGGCGTCAGCGGGGTGGGGGTACTGGTCCCTGCACCTAATGATCTTGACTATGATGCTATTCTTGCTGCCATGTATGCTGTGTCTACTAGTGATGAGGGTGACTGTTACCTGTGTGTTCCGCCTGACCCGGGCATTGAGGCTGTTGCTCCAGGTGCTAGTGCGTCTGCTTCCCCAGGTGCTGGTGAGTCTGCTCTCTTAGGTACCACGTCGGCTCAGGCCTTGCACACCTTCACCCTTGACTCGGGTGCTTCCCGCTCCTTCTTTCGAGACCGCTCCACGCTTACGCCGCTTAGTCGGCCGGTTGCGGTCTCCCTGGCGGACCCCTCTAGGGGTCCTGTCCTTGCTAGCTTCTCCACTGTCTTACCGTGTTCCACAGCCCCCTTTGGCACCCTGTCAGGTCTCTACCTCTCCTCGTTCTCTACTAACTTGGTGAGTGGAGCTGATCTACGGGACCATGGGGTTGACCAGTTCACGCCTGCGAGTCAGCGGGTGACCCACTGTACGTGTGCTCGGACGGGCCGACACTTGGCCACATTTACCCGTCAGCCGGGGTTGAGCCTGTACACACTAACCACTGAGTCTCCTCCGGTTGCTGAGTCTGGTCAGGTAGCTGCGTCGAGTCAGGTGTTTGCAGCAGCGTCCAGGTCTGGTCATGAGTCTGCGCCTTGCTCGTGTCGTCTCCTGTCCCACTAGACTCTCCTTTGGCACCACCGCCTTGGTCACCCCTCCCTGCCTCGTCTCCGAGGCATGGCCTCACGTGTCCTTGTCTCTGGTCTCCCCCGGTCCCTCCCCCCCCTACCTCCGGGGCCTGCCCCTACCTGCGTCCCCTGCGTCGAGGGGCGGCAGCGCGCCGCCCCTTACTCCTCCGAGTTTCCTCCGACAGAGGCTCCCTTGCAGACTCTTCACATGGACGTGTGGGGCCCCACCCGCGTCGGTGGCCAGGGTCACGAGCGTTACTTCCTGTTGGTGGTTGACGACTACTCGCGTTACATCATGGTGTTCCCCTTGCGCAGCAAGGGTGACGTCACTGAGGTGTTGATCGACTGGATCCGCGCAGCTCGTCTCCAGCTCAGAGAGAGTTTCGGCTCGGACTTTCCTGTTCTGCGTCTACACTCTGACAGATGCGGTGAGGTTTCCTCTGCCCATCTGGGAGGCTTCTGTCGTGCACAGGGCATCCGCCAGACCTTCACGCTTCTTGCCTCTCCACAGAAAAATGGGATTGCTGAGCGCCGCATTGGCATGGTCATGGACGTCGCTCGTACGTCCATGATCCATGCGGCTGCTCCCCATTTTCTGTGGCCGTTTGCGGTTCAGTACGCAGCGCATCAGCTCAACCTTCAGCCCCGGGTGTCCTTGCCAGAGATCTCCCCCACCTTGCGATGGACGGGGAAGGTTGGCGATGCGTCTGCGTTTCGGGTCTGGGGATCTCGGGCGCTTGTCCGCGACTTGTCTGCGGACAAGCTGTCCCCCCGTGCTGTTTCCTGCGTATTCCTTGGCTTTCCCCCCTGACGCGCCTGGTTGGCAGTTTTACCACCCCACCTCGTGCCATGTTCCGTCCTCCCAGGACGTCACCTTTGACGAGTGGGTGCCTTACCGCACTGCGCCCCTCCCCCCGCCGTCGCTTTTCCTTGCGCCAAGTCCTCCCCCGGTAGACCCCCGCCCCCCTCAGGGTCCTGCCCCGTCAGGTGTGTCCCATGTAGACGCAGTTGAGCCTGTCGAGGTAGCTGTTGACTCTGGTGCTGCTAGGGCGCTGAGCCTGCGGGTGCTGAGTCTGGGGGTGCTGAGCCTGGGGGTGCTAAGTCTAGGGGTGCGGAGCCTGGGGGTGCTCAGCCTGGGGGTGCGGAGCACGGGGGTGCTGGGTCTGCTCGTGTGGCCTCTGGCGGTGCTTCGTCGAGGCGGGAGCTACTCTCTCCGTAGGAGCTGCGCGAGTGGTTTGCCCGGCGCTGGAGCCGTGCTGCTGGAGCTGGAGGTACTACTGTTGCTGCTGGTCCTGGAGGTGCACGTCCTGGCGGTTCTGGTGCTGCTAGGACTGGGAGTCCTGTTGGAGGTACTGCTGGAGCTGCTGGCGGTGCTGGAGCTGACGGTCCTGCTGGAGTTGGCGCTGTTGGAGCTGGAGGTGCTGCTGGCGCTGGTGCTGTCGCTTGGGGGTAATGGTGCTATCCCTGCTGATTCTGGAGGCGCTGCGCGGCCGAGGCCATATTTCGTTCCGCTCCTTGAGCAGGTTCTTGGTCTCTCGCCCTCTACGAGTCCTGCTCCTCCCTTAGCATGTCCACAACCTGTCCAGTCGCGGTCACAGTTACAGCCTGCCTCCCCCCTGCCTGCTCCTTCTCCCTACACTTGTCCTACTGGAGGTCTTGCTAAGCGTCGTAAGCCTGCGTCTTGTCCTGCGTCGCCTGTTCGTGCTGCTCGCACTAGTCGTCGTGCTCCGCGTCCGCGTCCTCTTGCCGTCCCCGGCACACACCAGATGGCACTCCGTCCTTCCACTGCTCCTCTGCATGTCCCGTTGCCGTCTCCTCCAGAGTCCTCTCTTCCTACTCTTGCTGACCCTAAGTCTGACTCTCTTCGTGCTGCCAATCCTACTATCACGCGTCTCCTGGCTAATGTTTTCACTGACCCTTCTTTTGAGTCGACTGCTGCGTCTGCCTTAGTTGCTGAGCTTGTCGACTTTGCTGCTCGCTGTCGTCTAGACTACGCTGCTAGTCTTGCTGCTGAGTCTGAGTTTGTCTGTCCTCCGTTCGTCGGGGGTGAGTGTGCTCTTAGCATGGACGTCCTCGAGGACAGGCAGGAGGAGTTCCAGTGTTTTGCTGCTGCTTTGCCTCATCTCGTGTCCACGCAGATTGCCCCTGAGGGAGACCCGAATGCACCAGACATCTCGACTCCTCGATCGTACGCTGAGGCGATCGAGGGTCCCTACTCCTCACAGTGGCAGTCAGCCATGGACGCAGAGATGGCTTCCTGGAAGTCCACAGGCACCTACGTCGACGAGGTTCCCCCACCTGGGGCGAACATCGTCAATGGCATGTGGATTTTCATTGTGAAGCGGCCGCCGGGTTCTCCGCGTGTCTTCAAGGCACGTTACGTGGCTCGAGGCTTCAGTCAGCGGCAGGGAGTTGATTACTTTCAGACCTTTTCCCCCACCCCGAAGATGACCACTCTTTGGGTGCTGCTGCACATAGCCGCTCAGCGCGACTACGAGCTTCACTCTCTTGACTTCAGCACAGCTTTCTTGCAGGGCAGCCTGCACGAGGAGATCTGGCTGCGCCGCCCACTTGGCTTCACTGGGTCGTTACCTCCTGGTACCAAGTGGAGACTCCGGCGGCCAGTCTACGGTCTCCGCCAAGCGCCCTGTGAGTGGCACAACACACTGAGGACTACACTTGCGGCTCTTGGGTTTGCTCCTTCTACCGCCCACCCGTCGATGTTTCTACGCACCGACACCTCTTTGCCGCCGTTCTACATCCTCGTGTACGTCGACGACTTGGTCTTTGCCACTGCTGACACTGCTGGACTCGCCCACGTGAAGACCGAGCTGCAGAAGAGACACACGTGCACAGACCTAGGTGAACTGCGCAGCTACCTTGGCTTGCAGATCACCCGGGACAGAGCACAGCGCACCATTACCCTGACTCCGTCACACATGGTGCAGCAGGTCCTTCAGCGCTTCGGCGTCACGTACTCCTCGCCTCAGGCCACTCCTCTCTCTACTCGCCACTCGCTCTCAGCTCTGCCTTCGGATGAGTCCATAGAGTTGAGTGGCCCTTACCCAGAGCTTGTTGGTTGCCTTATGTATCTGATGACCTGCACTCGACCTGACCTTGCATACCCTCTTAGCATTCTTGCACGCTATGTTGCTCCTGGGAGACACAGACCGGAGCACATGGCTGCAGCGAAGAGGGTGTTGCGCTACTTGTGCAGTACGTCGGGCATGGGGCTAGTGCTTGGAGGGCGACGTCCAGTGGTCCTCATAGGTCACGCAGACGCTTCTTGGACTGACGACCAGGCTACGTAGCGGTCGTCACAGGGTTACACCTTCAGCCTTGGCTGCAGCTCTGTTTCGTGGCGGTCTACCCGCTCGTCTTCTGTTCTCGGCTCCAGCTGTGAGGCTGAGAT